CTCCGTATCTCTTAGATCACGTGAGACAGCATTTCTACATAGACTTATTAACCACGTGGACAGAATCAGTAAAACCATTAGGACTTAAAACCAGTCTTTACCTAACTGGGAACTGAAATGACTTCAGCACAGTGTGCTGAAGCCGGGTTTCAGGCATCTGCTTCTGTTACTTCCATTGCAAATAAGTTGATGGACTTTGACTGATTTTTTTTTTTTGGCTGATCTCATCAGCTGTTTATGTGTCCTTGTGTCTACAGTGACATTGGTTCTATAACTTGAACTCTTATTTCAAGAAATAAAGAAGGGAAAACTTCAGTCCTTGCTTTCTGTAAGAAAGAATGGAATGAAAATGCCAATTCAGCATTAAAACTGTACTCCAAGGTTGTTCCCATTTTAACAATCAAACCTTGAATTTTTGGCACCTTGAGGAAGATATTCATCACATCTCAGTGTTGTGTGAGCAGATTGAGATTGAAGTAGAGGCAGTGATCACAAGGGGAGAGATGTTATATCTATCTCAATTCAGTCTGGATCATTTCTGTATTCCTGAATTCTGTGTGCCAATACAGGAAACTTCTTGCTCTGTTCCTATTAGTGGGTTTCAAAGCCAGCCACAGATAACAGACACATATTTTCCTAGTTGGTGCTATTCAAACAATGAGCAAAGATAAGTCAATTTTCTTGAATTTTCTAAGAACAGTTCTGTGTGTGGTACTTTTTCCTTTTCTGTTTTCATAACAGTCACATTAACATAAAAGTAGCCTGTTCTCTCCTACTATTATGTCTTATGGTTCACGAGCTTGAATTACTTGAGCCACACGCACACACACACACACATGCACATACTCTTGATCATTAGCTCAGTTTTATCTGTTACCATCTGTCAAATGTCATCATTTTGTAGTTTGAATCTGTTGAGCGTTCAAGGACTGGCAGCAATGCAAAGCAATCCGTGGGAGGCAAAGTGATGCTCTTTGTACCCATATTCAGGAAAATGTTGCAGCATAGGCAGTAGCATCCCTCATTTCATATACAGTGGACTACGTGGACCCTGTGGCTGTGTAACTCTTTTTACTGCTGTATCATTCCAATATTACTTACGACAATATCACATTCATTTTAAAGATAGGAAAATTGAGACAATGTCTGTACTGCTATACGGTGTTTGGGCCAAGTAAGTCAAAAAGCTGATTTTCTTGGTGGACTAGGAGGAGGACGAGGTGGCTGCTGGAGATGCCCTCCTGGATTGCTGAGAAACATGAGCTTTAGAGAGAGACAATGATAACCCACATTTTTTATCTACAGAACACGATGATGTGGCCTGACATGGTCCTGCATCAAATGCCCGTTTGCCCCCATGTTAGTGTTGGAACAGTCCATGACAACAAGCTCCTGAAAACAGGAATGCATCAGGCAGTGATCTCTCTCTTGGTCAGTACTGACAGTCCTGCTGGGAGCCAAAGCTGGGCTGCTGTACACATGAGTGTCATAACTGACATTCCATGTAAAGTAGAAAGGAGCTCAGTGAAGGTGAGAAGCGTGCTTTTCTTCAAAAAAAAAAAGAAAAGAAAATCCATTAGCTTTGTTATCATCTGGGCATGCCAGGTTTAGACTATTTGAGGGACTTTTCCTATAAGATGAGAGGATGGCAAAAAACCACTCGTGACTTGAGCTTTGACACTGTGTTGATAAATGTGCAAGAAATACCGTAAATAATCAGATAGTTATTAATGCCACGTAAAGAAGGTAAGTAGAAGCTTGGAGCCAGCACTGATTTTTGGCAGCTGATCAATTCCTTAGTAGGTGCTACTTCACTTGCGATTCAGGTAAGATTCTGCCATTTTAATCAAGTCCTTAACTTCCCGTATTTTTTTTCCCCTGTCTCCCTTTCCATGGTAGGTTATGTGTTCTGTATGCTACATCGCCTTCCTGAACAGCACGACTGCACGTTTGACCACATGGGACGTGGACGTGAAGAAGCCATTATGAAAATGGTGAAACTGGATCGCAAAGTAGGAAGATCTTGCCAACGCATCGGCGAAGGATGTTCCTGAGTGCAAGACTGCAACCAAATGCTGTTCTCTTAGTTCACTAATGTTAGCCTTATTTAGGACAAAGTCAGCCAGACACCTTGTACTAGGCAAGTTTCAGACTACAGCCAATCAGTTTCCTTTCTTTAGCCAACCGTCCTGGTACTGTAGTTTAGGGGATGATGGTGGGTGAAATTGATTTCTGGCTGGTTACTAAGGTGCCTGCTAGCCACCGTATAAAAATTAAAACATGAAGAAACATTATTTTTGAGCATGGCTAGTGGATTTAATCAAAACGAGAAAAATCCAAAGGCTTCTGTTATTGCTGGAGTCACTGTAAAAGCCTTACGCTGGGAACCTTCCAGCTGCGGAGTTAACACAAATAGTTGTATAGAAGCTGGTGTAAAAGTTTGCTATGCACGTGGCTTTCAGACAAACTGTTTAATGTGCAGCCTTTCACTTCTTCATGCCTGGTTATTCCTGAGGAGGTGAAATACTACCGTGAGCAGCAACTGCAGCTGCTTAAGCCCAGAAGACCTGACTGGTCACTCGTGCCTTCATCGCGTGTGGCTTTTGAGTTAGGCAGTGTCACCAGCATCAGGGATTCTGTTGGGGTAGGAACATCTTTCTGGTTCTTCCCAGGAAGCCAAAAAGAAAGGGGGACAGAGATTCTTATGAAAAATTTTTTATATCTATCTTACTATAAGGAACCTATCAGGGGTTTTTTGTTTGTTTTTTTGTTTTGTTTTGTTTTTTTTTCCTCTCAGTTAAATTACGATCACTTTAAAGCCAACTCCATCCCAGAGCAGTAAATGGTGCATACATTTTACATGGCATCCACAGAGATTCTGAGGGTCGTGTGAAGATTCCACAGACACTTGAGCAGTGCAGCCATTCCCACCGGCCGAAACCTGATTGGCTCTTGTTTGCCTTTTGCTAAGTGCAGGTATCTGATAATTGATCAAATAAGGCTAATTCACAGCACAGTAGCCATGGCTGGATTCTACAGACTGACTTTCTGTAGCTAGACTTATATATTGGGGAAAAAAAAGGACATTTTGTAGCAAACGGAATTCAGTAACAGTATTGGGGAACAACCAGAGAAACACCCTGTATCAGATTGAGTTTGTATTCCTCACATCAGAACGTCAATGAGATAATCACACGGGTTACACCAGCCCTGTTTCTATGCAGCTGAACGCTCTCACAAACATCTCTGCCCGCATCTATTGCAAAGACGGTAAAGAAAGTGAATATGAAAAGCATTACATGGAGTAGAATGCTTGGGCTCTGTTGAGACCCATGGGTCTGTGTTACGGTATGTCACACTGAGTGGAACTGAGTGGCACCGGTCTCGTCAGTTTGTGAACAAAAAGCAAACAGAATATTCAGCACGTCTCCTGCTGCACACAGGGCTTACGCGAGTAAAAAGGGTTTGTACTGAAGTGACCCAGCTTGATCCCAAGCGAAGGGTAACAGTCAGGTACATCTGTAAGAAAACCCGAGGGAGGGAGAGATTTTGTCTCATTTTCAAATACTGGGCAGGTAGAAAACATCAGAGGGGTGAAGTAACCGTCACTTGGAAAAGCCCAGCGTTGTGGGAGAACGCTTGGATGAGTCAGCCTCCATTCCACTTGGTACAGGTAATTAACTCCTCATAGGCTAAGTCATGTTGTTACTCCGGTAGAAGCATTTAACAAGGAGATAACTAATTTAAAAATAAAAATGAAACATATCTCCACACAGGCGTTCAGCATCTGACTGTATTAGCATAAGTTAGCCATGAAGCAAATCAGAAGTGTCCCATCGCTATAAAATGCAAGCTATCTGAACAGCAAGTGATTTATTTTTTTTAGTTATTGTTATTATAGTTATTATTCAAGAACATGAAGCCAGCAGCAGAATCTTCAGTAATGTGCTGCATTTTCAGGAAGCGGTCCTGCTGAAAGGGACCGTCCAAGGATAGGATTTACATTTGCCATGAAGAATTTCTAAAAGCACGGATTTCAGCTGCTGCTGTGATACGCACTTTCTTTTCCTACAAAACCCTACTCATAGCATTTGATGGGCATTCTGAATGACACGCGAGACTTCTCTGCATTAATACTGAAGATGCTATTTTGTTCCTCCTTAATGCTCTCTTCAAACTCATTGCAAGTGCACAGATGGTTTCGAGGTGGCTCTCGCGAGAACGCTACTTAAAAGTTCATGTGAATTATGGACAATGTTCACTTTAAACAAAGAAGTTGGGGACGGGGTTGTTCCTTTGCAGTATCTGTTCTGTGAAGTTTGTTAAGCGTAAAGAAAGCTTAAGTTCTTGTATCTTAAAAGAAGATCTTATTTAACCCTTTTGTGTTCTAGATTTACTTACACATGTAGCCTAGAGCTCAGTTTTAGTTTAACATTGTGAAAATATTAAAAGAATCTTGTAACTTTATTCTTTTTCCTCCTGCTAAAAAAAAATTAAACCAATCAGATTAAAGTTTGAATTCCTTTCTGCCTATTCCAACAGGTCTGGCTATTTTGCACTATGAATCCGTTGCAAGCTCATGTAAGAAATATGTTAGTGGGGAAAATTCCAACGTTAAGCCAGTAACTTGGAGCTGCATTTATGGTTGGTGGAAGGCGAACGGTATTTTCTGCCATTTTGAAAGGGGAGAATTGTATTTTTGCTTCATTCCAACTTAGAGATTTTGTTTGTACACAGATCTGGCTCAATCTCCTGTAGCCTGAATATTGGTTTAATTTTGAAGTTAGATCAGAAGAGCAGGTTGTCTGTGCTGCTGCGCAGGTCAGGTGCAGACTGTGCACTCTGCCATTGCCATGGAAGTTTTAAAATGTCCTCAATGTTCTTTCATGCATCAGCACCTGCAGTCGCTGCATGCTTCATGGATGTTCAAGAAATAGATTATAGATTCTTAATCGTTTAGAAGCTAGAAGCGCAAAGCTAATAAATGCGTATCGAAGAGGAAGAGAGAACAGCAAGGTGTTTATTTAAAACAACTTTGAACATTGTTTGGAATTGCAATTGTGCCTCATTTCTGGAGCGTGCACACCTGTTAATTCCTCAAAAATGATTGTGGTACTTTCAGTTAGCAAACTGTGTGTGATTCTTGAACAGCATGGCTGTGTTACAGTAAAGGTAAGTTGGGTAATACAGCTCTTCCCTGTTTTCATGTGTCAAACCTACAGCTGGGTGCAAACTGAGGCTCTGAAGAAAAATAAGAATTGCCTTGTGACAGTTTTGGTTGTGACAACAGAGCCTGTCCTGAATTACACCTGATCTCTGTTTTGAATCGGTTTCGGGTGTTGAATGAGAAGTGATGTGGCTGTTAAATGAGAGAACTTGAGCTTCTCTTCAGTAGTGCACAGGCAGCACCCTAAAAGAGCCCTGGTGCAACTACAGCGGTCCAGAAGTAATACTGACTACTTATATCTCCCCGTGGAACGGGATGAATAGATTCAAATCTTGAATGACTTTCTTCTTTTGGCACATCCGCAAGCCATTGGCCTCTTGAATACAACAGCCTGTTTATATTCAACTCATTGTGTTGCACCGTTCATGTTGCAGTCATTGCAGTTCCTTCTGTGAGTCCGCTACAACCTGTTTGAAAATCTCTGCGCTGTAAGAACGTATTTTTTAACTTACAGTGACTGTATCAGAACAAAAACTCACCAAGAAAACTGATATTAATGGTGTCATTAGAAATAGAGCTTTTATACCAGAGCCTTAAGAACTGTACCAGCGCAATGACAGCACCCGTGTGTGTTGCCTGCATGATGCACACAGTCAGAAGTGCCCAGACAAATGAATTGATAATCTCCTTGTCATGTGGTAGTTACTGCAGTCAGCTGTCAGCAGAGCAGCAAAGAGAGGGTCTAAATGAAGTGATCCCTTAATGTCACAATGAGCTGGTAGCCAATTTGTGCTGGAAATAATGTTGCATGCTCCCGGGTACTTTGAAACGTAGAAAACAAACAGAAATGTTTTTAGACAACGCTATTTAAAATGAACTGTGTTTACTGGCACCAGATGTTTATTTCATCACTCAAGTACCTGACTATAATACTCCTCACGAAACAAAAGTAACATAAGCATTAAGCAGCGGCTCAGCACAAAAGCTGCTGTGGCAAAACTGCTCTATGAAGGTACAGTTCTAGTGTGAGCAGCTCGTAACTTTACATGAGAGTGCCTCTGTGTGTACTTCATGAAGGACCACACTGGAAAAGAGAGTGAATAAGACTGAACTTGAACAATATTCACAGTGCATGTTTTACGTGGTGAACTTGTGCAGCAGTGGGTAGCAGCTTTTCAAAGAAAACAAACTGTAATGGTGCTGCGAAGAGCCACTCTTAAATAACAGTTCTTGAAGCCAGCAGTCACAAGGGTACGGGTTTCTGTCTCCTTCTCTTTATTCATTTCTCCTTTTCATTGAGGCGTCAGTGTGTGCAGCTGGTCAAGTAGTTCAGCTTGAGTGTGTTTCTTCTTGGGTTCTCAGTACGCACAGAAAAGAAGGCACCAGCTTTGTTCCTTTGGAAGCCCCCATACCTTATTTTAAGTAGAATGAAATCTGGATGTTGGGCTGTAAAAGTGGTAACCTCCTTGTGCTTTTTACTGCAGCCACAGGCTGTTTTGTCACTAGCTGCAGCTTAATGCAGACATTATTTCATTGTTCTGGATGTTAGGCTATTTCTGAAACCTTTAAAGGGAAAAAAACCACCATAGTCCAAATCATAGTTTTATTATATTGTTCATACACAGCTTCCAATAAACTCTCTGTGCTTCATCCTGCAATGTGAAGTTGATGCAGGAGGAAAGAAGGCATGACAGCAGGAGGCAGAGGCTGCACATTGACTAGTGCGTACTGATCACCACCTCCTTCAAGTCAGCTCAGAGCATGCAGTGTAAAGAGGCAAATGATTACTTGCCAAACAGTACCAATTTTCTTAACTTGATACTACAGAAAACTGCTTTGTTCAGTCTTTGTGAATACAGCTGTTTAGAATTCTACTGTGTCAATTCTGAAACAGACATTATACATGAAGCAATGAAACACGGATAAGGGATATTTTGCTACAGGACGTTCCTGTTTTGCAATACACTCCTATTTTCTTAGAAAGAAAAGTGAGCAGAACCTTATAAGACTAACAGTAAACAATTTCAAATTCAGTATGTGCATCTGAAGAGACAGGAAAAGATCACTGAAATTACAAATTGAATTTAAAAGTGACTGTACCCTCTAACAAGAGGCTTTTGTTCTTCAGATAATAGCAAGCATTCATGGCAGTGGTTTAACTGTAAGCAGACTACTGCTTTGTGCTTTGGTTGTGCAGAGCTTGTGACATGCAATAGGATGCCGAGTTAATAACTCACAGCTCAGCGCAGTGACTGGGTAAGTAATGAGAATAAAAAGTACAGAGATCGATTCTCATCCATTGCCTCTCCCTTTACACAAGAGAACAGAAGATGGTGCTCACTGTTTCCTGGTTGCTTCATCCCTTTTATTCTTTTTCGAGTTACAGAAGACTCCTTCCTTCCCCGCCGCAGCTGTGCTCAGGTAGCACAGCGACCACACTGACTAGAATGTGAAACACATTGGTTTCCGTGAAAGCAAAGCATTCCTCTCTATCTGAAATGCAGCACCAGGACATCTCTTCTGGGTTCTCAAAACACTTGAAATCTTTGTATTCCTCTTAAAGTATTTAGGGTCTGTTTGAAGTAAAGAAGCAATCCTTTCAAACAAAGAAGCTATGGCATTTTATCATCTGAAAGTCTGCATGATCAGCATTTCTGCATTAAAAACAAAAAGGTTCATTGTTGAAGCATTCCTGAAATGCTTCATCTCATCTCTAATTTTCCAAGGAGCAAGTGCAAGACTTTCTTGGATGAAGCAGAAGAGAATGTCTGAGCCCTTTGCTAGATAAGCTGAATTTGGAATTTATTCTTAACTCCAGCAATAGCTTGCCTTTTACTTTTTTTTTTTCTTCTGCAGCATTCAAACTACACTACATTTACTTCAGATTCCTCTAAGCTTTAAGCAGACCTGTTTCTGGAGACCAGCTGCAGCATACTGCAGTTTGCAGCAGCATGAGCTGAAGATGATGAGCTTCAGGAATAAGCTAAATATTAAGTTACCATCTGTTGATGAACACAACTGTTCTTGTCTGCATTAAAGTTTAAAATGCTGGCTGGCTAGAAGTGTTTAAACTGAGCAGCCTGCATCAGACTTAAGTCATGCTTCTTTGGCTAGTCCGCCTGGTGTGCGTGATAGCCAGAGGTGTTACCTTCATTCTGGCTGCATGCAGAGCTTCTCCTTTGTTACCCTCCATGTTTATATAAATGAAAGTACTTGTCAGTTAAGCAGCAATTACTTGTGAATTCTGTAGTTGTCTTCAAGTCCTCTGCTCACTTATGATTCTCTGGTTTTGATTTCCAGCCTCAGGTTTTGCCAACGATCATAGTTCCAAACAGGTATTTTCACATGCCGTGTGCACACAAATCTGCTGGTAAATCAAATTATATTTTGGGGATCAAACACACCTATGTGCCTTTTATCAGTCCTTCTCTGGAAACGCAGCACGTACCACTATCAGAATTTGCTGGAGTTTCAACGTGATTATCAATAATTACAGACTTAGCCCTGGAAGCACCATTTGCTCACTCACAATTCCATTAAAAACACTCTCCCCACTCCCAAACAACAGAGGAGGTTGAGGGCATGCTAAGAGCTGTGGAATTGCAAGCTGGTAACTGCTGGGTTACTATTATTTTTCAATAGCAATTCTTCTGCTCTTCCTAGCATGAGGGTATGTGTGTATGTGTAGATATGTGTAAGGAGTTTCCTGTGTGTGTGTGTATGTAGGTAGATACAGGATCAGATAAATAGGCATTGTTGATTTTATTCCAGCTGTTACCTTGATAGCAATATTCCACCTCAGTCTGAGGCATCAGCTCCTGCTGAATTCAGGCACCTGTCAGCCTTCTACTCCCTGGCTTCTGAGCTTGCTGTGATTTCTAGAGGCTTGCTCCACCCACCCTGTGCAGAATCTCCCTCACCAACTACACTGCCCAACAGCACTCCCCCCACCACCCCAAACTGTCCTGTTCAGAGACCACACAAAGACAACAGAAAAGCAGAGATAATCATGTCTAAAGTTACTGAGATGTGTATTGCCAGTAGCTGTTTCTGTCTGCAAAGTAAAGGTTATTTTTTAAGTGTTAAATGACTGCTGCTGCTTACTATACAAAATTCCTAGAGCTGTGTCTTAGTTCACTGTAAAGCTGAGTTGTATTTCCAGCATAAATCCTTTCCACAGTGTTCTTATCTTTCTCTGTGGACTTCGTCAGTACAAGGAACCCAAAGGCTAGTTTGATGCTGCAGTCACCAGAGGGAAGCAGGCAGTATTTGGTGGCAGCCCTGCAGGTACTGGACATCCATTCAGATCAAGCATCCAAGGATGCATTTTTTTTGTCTGTTCTACCTTTAATTATTTCTTCTATTAGTTATCCTCATGTTTATATGTTACCTACAGAATAATATCACTCATTTGCTAGGTAATCTGGTTTCAAAAGCATCAGCACAACATGACACTGCGTGTTTGTTTGGCATCTTTACATTGAGCTTCATGAAAGCAGTTCTCAAGCATCACAACTACTGAACAGCTACTGATTGACATGGACATCACGGGTCACGCGGACCCAAAGCAAACATACTCTGTCAATCAGAACCAGTTCCTTGCCTTTGCTGTTCTTGGTCTGGATGATGAAGGTAAAGCCAATTCCACTGCCTCAGCTGCACACATGCAGGACTCGCCCGTTTGCTCCACGGCTGCAGCAGTCAGTGCTCTGCACCCGCATCCCAAACCCTGGAACATTTCAGGATTCACAGGACCCATCACCCACACATCCCAAAGTGACCAAGTTGTGTATTGTACCTGCTCTTTCTAATCACTTTTGTTGTGTGAAACAATAAAGCTGTTTATAAAGAGTTGCAACCTATTAAAGACGACAGTGCTGGTCTGTGATTGAAATGTGCGTTTTGGGGGGTTGTTGCATCAGCATTTGCCTGAAGGCAGAGAGGAAAGAGAGGAAATTAAACTTGTATCAGTTCACAGGCAATGAAACTTGTTAGCCCAGTACAATTTGCAAACGTCCAGCAAGGAGAAAGCTTGGTGCAGCACTGACTGTTTCATACCAGCCCTAATTCAGTCACTTAACATCACCACAGACTGGATTTCCATAGCCAACTTTAAGCACCTTTCCGGAGAAAGGAGGAGCTCTTATTTTGAGAGCAGTCTGAAAATAAAACCTGTCAGATGGAGCTGAATAAACCATCAAGATTACATAAGTTTTTGTAGAATGCAGCAAAAGATAATTCTAATCACAGAATCACAGAATTGTAGGGGTTGGAAGGGACCTCCGCTGAAATGTATTTTGAATACAACCCTTCTGATCTCACAGAAAGCACACGGGGAGCTGAGACTGAGGCAGTAACAGGAGAAGGAACACAAGGTGACAGGCATCCTGCACCATGTAATTCTTCACAGTAAGACAGCCTGACCCTTGCTGTTCTTATTGTTTATGGATTTCTTGGTGCAATTTTCTGTTTTAGAGGGCTTAACTGTGAACTGCTTGTAGATGGACTACACAGAGTACTGCTATTTCAAAGCATATAAGAAAAATGATAGTATTAGTCTTAGAACAGCTAATTTTTGTCTTTTATTTGAAAACATGTAAATAATAAATTGAATCCCTACATGCAGAGAAAAACGGAGAAATAAGAGGTGATTTTTGTCAGTGAACCTATGTAAACTTTCCTGCACATACTCCACCAGCATGTTAACTTGAAGCTATCAGGTAAATAGTCTGTATTTTGAAAAGATTAAAAAATTATTTGCTCATTTCAGACAGAAGCATGTTCTTCTTGCAACGTGTCTCTTTGCTTGCAAATAATTCTGTCTGCTGCTCGTGACTACTCGTGGGTCCCTACCTGTGCCAGCATAACTGGGCAGAAACAGTTCACTGCATGCCAACTCCCAGAGTGATGAAGGCAGCAGAACTTCAAAGGTTCACAGCAGATACACAGCAGATAAACTGGACAGTACAAACTATTTTAACCAGACGTTGTGCAACATCTCTCTGGTGGTGTGTGGGTATTGCAGAGAAAGCATAACATATTTTCTGTTGGTGAGGAGCCTAACAAACTAAGACTTATACAAACGGAGGAAAAAAACCTACCTTGAGGATGTGGAAGCTGGTCTTCCCAGAGCTGCAACAGGAGTAGGAAACTCACAGGACAGTCTCACTCACACAGGTGTTATTAATTCCAGAGATGACAAACCCAACCTTCACCTGCAGGCAGTTCAGCCATTTGTTTATATAATTTGGCAAGGATAGAGAAGTCATACTTGGCTTTAAAGCATGCATGTATCCCCAACTTACTGGAGTGTGGAAACTGCCTCTAAGAAGGAGTCACAGCCCAAACCCACCCATAAAGAAGAATCACGTTCCATTTGTGTATCTGTACATACTGAACATGCCAGACACACAGGAGAACAGGGCAGTGATGTGCACTATGTTAACAGTGCAGTGTGTAATGGTGGAGATAGCAAGGTGCCTCTGAAATCAATTTTGTGCTCTCCCTCTATACCACCTGGCCACCACCTGCCTTTACTCTGCAGGCCCTCTCCTCCAGCAGTAAGAAAAGGCTTCAGATCAGCTTCTCCCACTTCTACAGTACCATCCCCACAGTTCATACCTTCAGAAAGGCAGCAGATCAGCACTGTGGCAAATTCCAGGTCAAAAGCTGTAAAAGAGAAGGGAGAAGTGTAGGACTCCCCAGGCCACACTGGGCTGCTCAGATCTGTGCCAAAACTGTCCCCCTTCCCAACTAGGGCCTAAATAGTTGGCAAGCAAAGTTCAGCAAAGGGACACACATGTCCCACACACGCCTCCTTCATACACACCAGCACCTCTCATCTGGCATGCCAACAGTGGCCACATGTTCCACGGCACTGGGAGACTTGGTGTGGGTGGAAGGGGATGATGGCTTGGGTGGGACATCCTCCTGGCATCCAACAAAGGCAATGCTTGGCTGCTTTTTAGGATGAGTGCTGATCAGCCCCTGCAAGAAGCCAGGCTGTGGGCAGAACGCAGCTGAACTCCATTGATTCAGTGAACTGACCGTGCTCATTTTTTCATCTGGGATGCAGAGCTTCCTGAAGAAGCCAGCTTTAATTACTGACCCAAGCTTTAGGTGCATGAAGATAAACCTGAGCAGAAACAGCACATCTCTTTACCACAGTTTTAGCCTCTTCCTGCTCAATAGGAGCCCTGGACCACACTATTTCATAGGTTACACCCTGCTAACCCAAGTCAAGCACAGGATGGGCCCTGCATCAGTGAGCGCCCAGTGCCAAGATGTGACACAGCTTACCTTCCTCTACGCTGATCTAATGCTTTGGCTCAGTATTAGATATTCACAAGACATGGAAAATAGATGCGTATGATTTCTAAAAGGACAGGTCACTAGACAGGGTCACTTACATCAGACCACCATCTCCAAGCCATGAGAGTTTCCTGAGGTTAGCTGAAGTGCTGTTCTCCTTCTCACATGAAGGTGGATTGGGCCAGGCTGGATGTGTCTCTGGGCAGCCGGGTCTAGTGGTTGGCAACCCTGCTTGTGGCAGGGGAGTTGAAACTAGACGATCACTGTGGTCCTTTTCAGCCCAGGCCATTCTACGATTCTATGAAATGTGGCTATATTTCCTCCCAAGGCATCCGTCCTTTGGGATTGGAATCAAAGCATGCAAGTACGTTTGTAAAACACCAAAATACTTTAAAAAGCATTAAATAAATACAGACTGTTAAGAGGCCTTCTGATAGTATTAACTGCAGAATAACACATACACAAAAAAACATTTCTACCAGAATTAGCATCTGCCTGTGTGTAGGAGATAGCGTCACACATTGATTTATTTTACTGAGTGTAAATAAAGCCAATATGTGGCTCCTAGAAGAGAACACGAACAAAGGAAATCCAGGAGCTCAAGGTCAGGGTTTAAAGGACTTTTCTTTCATTTAAGTTCTAGCAGCCTTGAAAGCAGAAATTCTCCTCCAGCTTCCACGGCTTTCTCTTTCATAGCCCAGGCCCTCGGTAGCAGACTGGTTTCACATCTAGATTTACCTAATGATTGATGGATGAAACGTGTTGAACTGCAGCATTTAGAGCTGAGAAGTAAAGCTGAGAAGTAAGAGATGTATCAAATACATAACATAAAGACTTCTGATATCTGACTGCAATGAATCTTGTTCCTAGATAAACTAGCAGCTCCTTCATTTTGACCACTAAGATTCCTTCCCTTTCCACTGGCATTTAAGAGTCTCTCTGGAAATGCTGCAACATCAGAGAAACACAAAGGCTTGCAAATGTTTGGGCTGCTAGTGAAAACCTCAGGAAAGAAACAACAAACACTTCAATGCCATGAAAATGAGTTTGCTAGGATCGCTACACAGCAGATTGCAGATGACACTCTCCAAAAAACTTCTAGTGTGATGCTGCTAATAACATTTCTGTAGACAAATTAAATGCACAGCATTATGCAACTGTGTCACAGTGCTTCAGAGCACATCAGAATACCCCAAGAAACCAATCCAAAATATGTCTTAGTTCACCAGGCTCTAAAATGAGCCCCTCCTTAAACAGAGACAAAAACCTGAGCTCTGCTTGGGAAAGCAGTCAGTAGCGAAGTTTTAAAGCAAATCCTTTTTTCCTCATCACTTTGTCCTTATGGAAAAGGAGAGGGACTCTATCTCTTCTGCTGCAGACCCCCTACCCACGTCTCTGCTCTTCTTTCCCCCTGCAAGGTTTCCCTAACCGAGAATATAATCTTTTTCTGACAGAAGATGCAACGTTCTCTTCCTTCCACAGTAGCTACAAGAAAATAAACGGGCAGCTCTCCCTTTCCGCTACAACACGAAGCGCTTCAAACAGCCAGAGCAAACCAAGCTGCCCTGCCCCTGGTGACAAAGACCATCCACTGGTACATCTCATAGGAAAGGAGAACAAGAACTTCCTAGCATAGCTCAACTGACATGCCCTGAATCTGCCTTACCGCGGTGCACCCAAGACAATGAATTTCCGGCAGCCAAGGGTAAGTGAAAGGTCATTGAGCACGAATGGAAGACCAGGGGACAACGGGCTACCTGCATTCAATTCAAAGAGCGTTAAACCGGTGTTCCTGTTGTCAGATCTGATGCACAGCTGAAACATAAGCCACAAAGAGCTACAGAGACAATACTCCTCTTCCCTTTACAAAGAAGCAGCTAAACAGAAGGCAGCTGCCAATAAAGCAGCATTTGGTTAGTCCCAGATCTTCTGTAACCCCTAGTGCTTGTTGTCGACAAATGACAATAACAGAGGAATAAGCTCCCAGCAGTCCCCATGAGCCTAGTGAGAGCACTGGGCCCCCAGCAACGGACAGCTGAGCACTGTGTGCCACACAGCCTGCAAACATGCACAGAGGCTCTGCTCTCTCTGGTTTATCTGGGCAGCAGGATGTGTGTGCCACGCACTCAGTAAGCTGTGTGGGAATCAGAGGAAGATGCTTTGTGCCGTGATGCTCCAGGTTTCTTTGTTTTGTTTTTCACTGGGATGTATGAATCTGTAATCAAAATGTTTTTAAGGAGTTCTCCCTTTTTCCAGCTTCCTTTCCCAGCTGCCAACATGGTTTAGATCTAAGCTTTGAGAATTTTCATGACTGCAGTACTGGGGTTGTTTGCTGTTTCTAGATATATCCAATTAGTCAGCAGGCTCTGGTGCCTCATTTGTTCCCTCCGTGTCTCCTCCAATACACTTCCTCTAGAATATCAGAATACAAGAAATAGACTTTGCAAGCCAATCAATGCCATCAGAGGCTGAACCCTGCAGCTTCAACTGTAAGAAATGCCTCCTGAACAATGAAAATAGGGTTACTGTTTTGTTAATTACAGTTATACTGTGTCCCCTCTATCTCACAGAATGGCTCAGGTTGGAAGGGACCTCAAGGATCATGAAGCTCCAACCTCCTCACCATAGGCAGGGCCACCAACCTCCCCATTTAATACTAGACCAGGCTGCCCAGGACCCCATCCGACCTGGCCTTGAACACCTCCAGGGATGGGGCATCCACAGCCTCTCTGTGCAGCCTGTTCCAGCACCTCACCACTCTCATAGTAAAGAACTTCCCCTGACATCCAACATAAATCTTCCCTCCCTCAACTTAAAAACCATTTCCCCTTGTCCTGCTATTATCTACCTTCCAAAGAGTTGCTTTCCCTCCTGTTTGTAGGCTACCTTTAGGTACTGAAAGGCTGCAATGAGGTCACCCCACAGCCTTCTTTTCTCCAGGCTGAACAAGCCCAGCTCCCTCAGCCTCTCTTTGCAGGGGGGATGTTCCAGCCCTCTGATCACCTTTGTGGCTCTCCTCTGGACCCTCTTCAACAGCTCATCTCCCTACTATTGAAGACAGCGTATTTTCGCTAAGCTGCTTTTCTCTCATTTGGAAACATTTTGCTGACTTTGATTTACCCAGCAGTTAAAACAATTACCCAGGAGGCTTCTTATGCAGAGGTAGGATAGGTTATAGCAGTTAATCTGGGGTCTCCACCCTCTGCCCCTCAACATTTCATCACTTCAGACCATTCCACGTGCATCAGTCATGCGTTTGCCCCAAGAAGTTGCATCCATGGAACTGGCTTAAGTAGCTGGAAATTAATTTGTTTTCACTGTTCAACTGCAATAACCAAATTAAACAATGATTATAAAATAGGGAACAGTCCCATACTGTGCAGGTTTTACAAGCTGGGCAGCTATGGAAGCCTGAAAACATTAACAAGGCAAAATATCCCAAAGCCTCAAGGTTCTGCTATACACATGCCTACAGTATGCTCCAGGGCAGGAAGATCATCTGCTCCAGCAGCAAAAGCTCAAATCTCCATCAAAGGAAACAGAATTACCTGTTAGTGTAGGGGCTACTATTAAAGCTGCATTACCTTCATGATCATTGTGTATCTTGAGAGAAAAGTAAGAGAGGTTGTTTGGTCCAGAACATCTGCAACAATGCAAATTCAGACTTCCTTTCAGTTTTGTTTACACGAAAGGAGAAGCTCAAAGGAAGCACATTTAAGATCCAACAGGCTGACTCTTTTAGGTGCACACAGACCCATGCAGACAACACTGTAACTCCAACATGCAATCTGCTAACAAACAGCTATCACGTGTGGAAAGATAACGAACTAATTAGGCAGGATACCTGAACTCCACAGTTAGGTGCTGTGAGATTCTCAAAACCCCTGCTCAAATAGCAGGAATCTACTTTCAAGTGCCCAAATCTTCCCATGCAATGCACAGAGGTGGCTTTGTGTGGACCAGGGTTGCATCAAGAAGGCACTTAGAAATCAACTGCTGCTCAACACCCAAGACATTCTGTCATGCTAGATCAAGGTGAGAAATTAATGCAACTAATGCATGGTTCACAGTGGTAGCTGAACTGTCTTACATTGTTTATGACATTTTCACATCACAGAATCACAGAATCACTTTCCTCTGGAATCATTTTCCTCCTCATTTCAGTGCATGGTAGTATCTTACCTTAAGCAACATCAAGAGAAGATCAAATCAACTAGTAGTGAAAGAAAAGGAAAAGAAAGCAGTTCCTCTCATATGTGAGAAGAGTAAGAACTACACAGATAAGGCAGCTCAATTACATTCTTTTTCATCTTAGATTTTAAAAAGCAGAAAAAAGCTTAAAAAAAAAATTGTCAGGA